TGTGTGTGTGTGTGTGTGTGTGTTTTGTTTTTTTGCAAATATGATTTATTCTTAAGCAATATTCTCATCAGTTTTCTATCAGCTGTGACATATAAATCTAGCCTATGTGTTTTTTATATTTTATCCAAGGGATAATTTTAAGTTTTTTTACCTTTATAGAGGGCATTTTCCCACTAATCTCATGAATACTTTCATTTCACATTCTTACATTTTATCTATAAATTCAATCATAATAATGTGATTATCTATACGTTATCAAATTAAATAATTTACACTAAAAAATACAACTGCATTAAATAATATTATGAGATTATTTTAAATATTTTTGAACATACAAACTAGAATTGATGGTGGAAATGATACTTTTCAACTAAATTAAAATGCCAGTAAGGTGCCAGTAGCGTTTAATGAGAGAGACATTGAGTCGTTCATTCAAACGATTCATTCAAATGGCAGATTCATCAGGGGCCGGTTGCAAAAAAGGTTAAGACTAGTCTTAAAAGTTAGTCAGCTAATTTTTTTCTTTAATACTGGTCATATTTTTTTTTATTCAGTTACATAAAAATGTAGATTAGTCTGAGTTGAATCCAAAAATAAGACTGATTACCCTTTGGCTAACTGCTAGTTGGTCAGACCATAGACATAATAAATACCTAGACGCCTCATTGGCCGCTTTGAGCCGTTGCTGCGATACGTCAACATGTCCGCCATGTTTGTGAAGGCAAGACTGCCTTAAAAATAAATGGAGGTAAACGGAGGAGCTGCATTTTTTTTTGGGATAAAAACACGATAACGTTTAGATTTATCAACCGATTTCAGAGGTTTGTGATCTATATGGAGTTAAAAATAACTCTGCCTCAACTTATTTAGATAGGTTTGGAAAATTATTAATTTTCGTAAGAAATTGTGAAAACTCACACTTGTCTCGCTTGTTGATTTGATTGATTTTTTCGGTTTAACAGTTACAATTCTAATGTTAATGTAGTATAATTGTGACATATACATGTTTTGTAATTTGAATGTACATTAAATGAAAACGCACTGTTAGATTTTTGGAGAGGTGCACGTCAGGCTACGGCGTATGGGTGTGCGTCTATGCGTAGGCTACGGTGTAGGTCCGACGCAGAAGTATAAATCAGCCTTTAAAGGGGTCATATGATGCTTTACACATTTCACATAATTTTTCAAATACTGTACATTATTGTAGGACCTCTCTCAAACGCTTCATTTTCTACAAAGTCCCTCCTTCCGACAAGCACAGTCTGCTCTGATTGGCCAGCTGACCCAGTGCATTGTGGCACCGGACGGCCTAATTTAAACCCTGATTATACTATGACAAGGACACCTTAAAATAAACTAACCCAAATTTCTTGATCATTGTTAGTTAATGCTAACTATGGGACCTTATTGTATAGTGTTATCAGAAAAATATAGTCTCCAAAATGCTTGTAATCTATGTAACATTGTCACATTTATAAATATTGTGTTTTCACACAGAAAATCTGGATGCAATGATTGCCCTGCAGACCAAGAACAAGCTGGGCAAATCTCTGGTTCCTCTTAGCATTACACCCCCTACAGGTAAACCAGACCCACCGCAGATCATAACACCGCAAACTGCAAGTCATTCACTGCAGATTCTGCTCAGGAAGGCTTTGGCATCACTATACTGTTTTTTTTTTTTTTCCCCCTCATCGCACCTCCTTCCAGGAAAAGCATTGGATGATGATGACAACACCAAAACAGAAGCTGCCAACATGCAGAAGGAGTATGAGTCTCTCAAAGACTCGACCAAAGACGTCCAGACTGCTGCTGAAATCAGTGAGTAAATGAAGGATCCTGTATCATCTTCACATGCTTATGGTTTGGGATGATATTAAAAGCCTCTCAGCTTCTGCTGGTGTAACTGAGCTGTTTAACTGGACGCTCTAGCAGTAGAGCTGAGACAGATACACTGATAAGCCTGTATCAAATACAGAATTCAACAAACGACTGCAGTGTGTGTGTTTCAGAGATACAGCGAGAGTTTCAGTCCCATAGGGAGAGACTCTGCAGCAGCAGCCTGGCAGATTGAGGGCATCGCTGTAACACGCTCACAGTGGACTAACAGTAATGAATACAATTATGAGGCCTTGTTCAGGGAGACGTTTATTGATTCTTTGAAAAGTACTGAACATTATTGTTAAAAGCTGTGATCATCACCGCCGATTATTACCCAAGAAGCATTTAGAACACACCCATTATACATTTATGCTGCTTTCATGTTTGAATTGCCACGATTATGAGGTGACAGCTCAGAATTTATGGATTTACGGAAATGATCTGTTACTATAGCAACACTCATAACACCAAACTGCCCATGTACTGTGCATAATTCAACTATGTTCTCTAGCAACATTGCACATGAGGTATATAGAATATAATAATTATTATTAATGATAATATACTGAAAATAAGCTAATAAGAAGAAATATTTACAAAGATGTATATTTTAACAAACAATACAATAATAAACCATCCATCTATTCATCTATTAAATAATTATATCCATCTATTTATCCATTTAATATTTATCCATCTATTTAAATGAAGAATAAGAAATGTTTAAACCGAAAATGTATTGAAAAAAATATATATTTAAACAAATAATTGAAATAATAAATCTATCCATCCACCTATCAATCTATTTAAGAAGAAGAAGAAATATAGGTATGTTATAATAAGAATAAGAATCATTTCTGTCTGACAGGTCATCCTGGGAAGTCTGAGAGTTATCTGGAGGCAATCAGGAAGAACATATTGTATAGTGTTATCAGAAAAATATAGTCTCCAAAATGCTTGTAATCTATGTAACATTGTCACATTTATAAATATTGTGTTTTCACACAGAAAATCTGGATGCAATGATTGCCCTGCAGACCAAGAACAAGCTGGGCAAATCTCTGGTTCCTCTTAGCATTACACCCCCTACAGGTAAACCAGACCCACCGCAGATCATAACACTGCAAACTGCAAGTCATTCACTGCAGATTCTGCTCAGGAAGGCTTTGGCATCACTATACTGTTTTTTTTCCCCCTCATCGCACCTCCTTCCAGGAAAAGCATTGGATGATGATGACAACACCAAAACAGAAGCTGCCAACATGCAGAAGGAGTATGAGTCTCTCAAAGACTCGACCAAAGACGTCCAGACTGCTGCTGAAATCAGTGAGTAAATGAAGGATCCTGTATCATCTTCACATGCTTATGGTTTGGGATGATATTAAAAGCCTCTCAGCTTCTGCTGGTGTAACTGAGCTGTTTAACTGGACGCTCTAGCAGTAGAGCTGAGACAGATACACTGATAAGCCTGTATCAAATACAGAATTCAACAAACGACTGCAGTGTGTGTGTTTCAGAGATACAGCGAGAGTTTCAGTCCCATAGGGAGAGACTCTGCAGCAGCAGCCTGGCAGATTGAGGGCATCGCTGTAACACGCTCACAGTGGACTAACAGTAATGAATACAATTATGAGGCCTTGTTCAGGGAGACGTTTATTGATTCTTTGAAAAGTACTGAACATTATTGTTAAAAGCTGTGATCATCACCGCCGATTATTACCCAAGAAGCATTTAGAACACACCCATTATACATTTATGCTGCTTTCATGTTTGAATTGCCACGATTATGAGGTGACAGCTCAGAATTTATGGATTTACGGAAATGATCTGTTACTATAGCAACACTCATAACACCAAACTGCCCATGTACTGTGCATAATTCAACTATGTTCTCTAGCAACATTGCACATGAGGTATATAGAATATAATAATTATTATTAATGATAATATACTGAAAATAAGCTAATAAGAAGAAATATTTACAAAGATGTATATTTTAACAAACAATACAATAATAAACCATCCATCTATTCATCTATTAAATAATTATATCCATCTATTTATCCATTTAATATTTATCCATCTATTTAAATGAAGAATAAGAAATGTTTAAACCGAAAATGTATTGAAAAAAATATATATTTAAACAAATAATTGAAATAATAAATCTATCCATCCACCTATCAATCTATTTAAGAAGAAGAAGAAATATAGGTATGTTATAATAAGAATAAGAATCATTTCTGTCTGACAGGTCATCCTGGGAAGTCTGAGAGTTATCTGGAGGCAATCAGGAAGAACATTGAATGGCTGAAAAAACACAACAAGGAAAGCAACAAAGAAGGTAAATATGCATGAAATATTAAAGCCTTTCAGTCAGGACTGTGTTATTTTACAGCTGCTGAAATGGAATGGAGCATGTGCTCCGCTTTCTCTTCTCAATTTAATCATGATTGAAGCTAGCAGGATATGTGCTCTGCCTTTTTCTTTTTTGTAAATATTAATCAAATTAAATTCCATTAGGGCCTAAATCAATTTCTACATGCTAATTAGTGGTTACATTAATGCAATATAGGCCAGCAGCCTACATGCATAACACAATTCAAAATTATATGTAGATCCTCAAATGTTGCCAAAATAAATAAACACCAATTTTACAGAATATTAGCTCAAAATGAATTGACAAAGCTGTTGCTAGATTTTGAAAATGACAATGATACAAAAATACCATCCTATACTGCTAGTAAACACACTGGTAATCTGTGATAAACTGGTAAACTGCCTTATCTCGCTCTCTTAGAGCTGTTAAAGGGTTTACCCCTAACCCAAGGTTACACACAATTCAGTGAAACATGGAGAAGAACGGTCGAATTAAAGACTCTTTTCTTTCTCTTCATTTGCAATTAAAATAAGCGTGGGTGAGAGCGCTCATGAATATGCGTCGGTTTGATGAGCTTGGCTGTGTTACAGCGATGCAAGGCTGCTGCGTTTCTGACAAAAGATCGGTGTGTTCCTCTCTTCATACCTGCCAGCATGAGACTCAAACACTGTCTGTGTTCTTCAGGCATCATCTGCTCAGCTCAGATAATGAGAACTCTCGCTCTATTGTTCTAATTCAAAACAGTTAGAGGCAGACTGTTAGCGTCTAGACGGGTGAATCATGTCCAGGTCATAATAATCATAAAAGAAAAAAAAAGAAGAATATAATTGCATAAAGCAAATAAAGCCTATTTTAGGACAATTCTCATTACTGCAATGTTTTTTTTTTTTGCAGAATAAATTAAATAAAACAATTCCATGATGTGTAAACTTTTTTTTTTCTTTCTTTCTTTTTGCATTACATCAATGGAAGTTGACATTTTTGCAGTATGGTGATGAAAATTTATATAGAGAAAATATGTTTAATTAATATGTTTAAATTAATGTCACAATGCAAACAAACAAACAGATAAATAAATAAATCATATTTTTAATATTTAAATATAAATATTTATTTATTTAAATATTTTAAAATTAAATATTTATATAAATATTTATTTATCTGTTTATTAACAAACAGATAAATAAATAAATGAAAAAGCAAATCTGAGGATCCTAAAATGGTTCCTAATATATATATATTTATATTTAAATATATTAATAATTAATATAAATATTATATATATATATGTAAATGAATGTCTCAATGCAAACAAACAAACAGATAGATAAATAAATGAAAAAACTAATCTAAAGATCCTAAAATGGTTCCTAATATATATATATATATATATATTAATATAAATGTAAATATAATATATATATATTAATGTCTCAATGCAAACAAACAAACAGATAAATAAATAAAATATCAATAAATAAATGAAAAAACTAATCTAAGGATCCTAAAATGGTTCCTAATTTATATATATATATATATATATATATTCTTTTTTTTTTTTTTAGAAATGTAAAAATGTCCAGATATTTCTGCAACAGCAAGGAACTGATTGGTTGATGGTGCTGCTGCAAGAATGTGCATGATCTCAGCAGGGGCAAACTGGGTCATGCTAACCAGCCAAACCTTGACCAAAACACTCAAGCACTAAATGTATCATTGAGTTAACCTTCAGTTGTATCAGTAGTCAAATAAAAGCTATTCTGAGAGATTACTTTGCTTCTTCTTTACTTTGCTGAAGTTGCTTTACATAAGAGAAAAATTATGATGAATTAAGCTTTCATCTATTCTTTCAGATGTACAGTAAGACTTTTGGAAAGGACACTTTTTGACAAATATCTATCTATCTATCTATCTATCTATCTATCTATCTATCTATCTATCTATCTATCTATCTATCTATCTATCTGTCT